GCATAGCTGGTGAAAGGAGCAGGCTAACTGGGAAGGGCTGGGAACTCCATGCCTCCATGCTCTCCTTCTACCAAGCTTCTGGATTCATATTTAAAGATACAGCGTTAACGAGAAGTTACACAGGGTCTTGTGAGTCTCCTACCCCAGCAGTTCTTTGGTCTGTGGTGTCTGGACAAGCCACTGCCTCCAGGCATAAGTCCTGGAAATAAAGGCCAAAATTCTGTGGTTTTGTGGACCCTACAACCCCAGGATGGACTACTGCACCCATGAGCTTTCTCACAGACACTCAAATCTCCCACCTGCCCTATGTCTTTCCAGGTACCCTTTCCAACATAAAGATGGTGGCATCTGGTCCTAAGGTGGGGAAGGTCTCCGGCTCTTTCTCACTCACCTGCACTGTAGAGGGAACAGCTCTGGACAGCCCTCGATATGACTGGAATTGTGTCCGTCAGACCCCAGGAGGGCACCTGCAATTTGTAGGCTGGATCTACCCTTTTGGGAATAACACAGGCTATTCCCTAACCTTCCAAGGCCGAGTTACCCTTTCTGCAGATAAAATCAAAAGCAAGGTCTCCCTGCAGCTGCATTCCCTGACAGCCTCGGACACAGCCACCTACTTCTGCGCCAGGCAGCACACAGTGATGCCATTGCAGGGAGAGGAAGCACAAAAAGGGGGAGGGACTGCAGTGGTGGCAGGGCCCTTTCTCAAATGACAGTTGCCTGGACTTGCTCTGGGAAATATCAGTGAGACTTGGGCCCGATAGATGTGGCCTCACCAGCACTGAGCACAGGGGAAGAATCACTTCCCTGGACCTGTTGGCCACACTGTTCCTGATACAGGCCAGGATGCCATTGGCCTTCTTGGCCACCTGGGCACACTGCTGGCTCATGTTCAGCTTCCTGTCAATCCAAACTCCCAGGTCCCTTCCTGGCTGGCTGCTCTCCAGCCACTCTGTGCCCAGCCTGTAGCACTGCCAGGGGTTGTTGTGGCCAAAGTGCAGGACCCGGCACTTGGCCTTGTTGAACCTCATCCCCTCGGAATCAGACCATCTCTCCAGCTTGTCCAGGTCCCTCTGCAGAGCCCCCCTGCCTTCCAGCAGATCAACACTCCCCCCCAACTTGGTGTCATCTGCAAATTTGCTGATGGTACACTTGATCCCCTCATCCAGATCATCAATAAAGATATTAAACAGAACTAGGACCAACACTGATGCCTAGGGGACACCACTAGTGACCAGCTGCCAACTGTTCACCACCACTCTCTGAGGAATCACTAAGGAATTGTAGTGTCTGTCATGGTGAGGAGAGGCTGGGAGAACCAGATGGTTCAGCCTGAAGGAAAGGTTGATTGGGAAATGGGGGATCTTCTCTGTATAAATACCTGACAGAGGGGAATAAAGAGGATTAAGCTAAACTCTTCTGAGTGGTACTCAGGGAAAGGACAAGAGCAAATGGGCACAAAGTGAAATGCAGGAAATTCCACTTAAACAAAGCAAAAGATTTTTCACATCCTAGACCTGGGCAGGTCACTCCTGAGAGTGACTGAGCACTGGAACAATTTGCCCAGAGAGGCTGTGGAGTCTTCATATGCAAAACTCAACTAGACATAGTCCTTAGTGACCTGCTTTATCTGACCTTACTCTGAGCAGGGGTTTGGGAGTTAACAGTCTTCTAACATCCCTTTCATTCTCATCTATTCTTTAATTCTCTGTTTCTGGGTAAAATATCACCATCCCTTTCCACCACAACTCCTCGCCCCCCACCCAGAATCCACACAGAAAAAGAGGCAATGATATCAATGAAAATTAACCTCTGAAGACTTATTTTTTCTAGAGCATGGAAATATTAGAGATATAAATAATTTTGGGTACAGAATAATCTTAATAAGTAAGAAAATAATCTGACTGTGTCTGGTTCTTGACATTCTTAAGAAAGTATCCTCCCTTAAATCTCTAGAATTTTATTAAAAATATATCTGGAATTAAGTAATTTGAGTTAAAAGGTCTCTTACAATCCAAATTGATACATATTCAGTGTCACCAACTGTGGGCAATATTTCAGTAAGAGTTGTATTATTACCTTAATCTATCATAAAGGTGATGCTGGCAATGCTATTATTAATAACTGTAACTGTGGTTTGATTTTCCAGCAACAAAAGGGCAGAGGAAGAAAAAATGCAGCATTCAAAAGACATCAAAGAAGAGGTGTCATCTGACATTGAAAGGAAAAGACAGTTTTTGTATGACTATTCACCACTGTGTGGTCTCGGTGACACAGTGGTTAAAGGAGACTGAACCACCCAGCACAAACTGACTTCTGGAAAAGCCTGAAGGTGCAACTTACCCCACTTCCTCACAGCATCATCTTCCCCCAGACAGCTGCATCCTGAAGAACACATCTGATTCTGACTGGGGTTCAAGCTATGGGACAATCACTATATGCCATGCCAGTTTTTCTCACACTTAAATACAGATGCTGGTTTCCAGATCATTTGGTTTTGAACATACTTCTTACCAACTCCAGTTCAGCAGATTCATGTTTTTACTTGACAGAGTTTGGAAGTTTCTATCTAAGTTACACATTGTGTCCCCTCTACTTCATTGCAGAGAAGCAATTGGTTCTAAAGAAATTTTTCGCTTCCCAAGCTACTTTAGAGAGATAAAACAGTTCAGTCAATTGTATTTGGTGCATGACTCTCTTCTCAACATTCAGATGACTCTCTCAAATGCAGGCCCCCAAAGCTAGGTAAGAAGATTTTAGCTCCATGTGGCAGGTCTGGTTTTCCCTGACCGGATCATGACCCTACACTCTACTACTGAGCATCACCATTGAGATGGATCCCTCTATCTTCAGCTCAGCTCACAGCAAACAGTGCCCCTTTATCCACCACCTCCATCTAGTATTATAATTCTCCCACCCTTCCTGCCTTTTCCACATCTGTTTCTCCTTCCACTCAATGATTTAAGAGATTATGCATTAATTCCCTCTTGAACTGCATGATTAATGTTTTCCTCCATGGCCCAGATCGTGATCTCCTTTCTTTGCCCATGCCAGCTGCAGTTTCTTCCCATTCATTATATCTTCATGGACCACTGCAAGGAACACTGTCTGAGTTTCTGACAATGCCAGTGTACTTCACTACCAGAGCAAACCTAAGTTAATGTATTCATTCTTAAACATCTTCATGGGCTATAGATTAGATTGCTGCAGAATCTCCATTGCTGCTAAACACTAAGGAGGCCTTAGAGCCTGCCTGAAGTCACCCAGGCAACTCATAGCTTCTGGGAAGAGAGGAGGGCCCATCAACTCTGAGGCCATTTCCAGTGTGGCCTCTTCATGCCCTGGTCAGCTTAGAGGTCCACTCCCTTCTCCTTTTTGGGGAATGTTTGTTAACCCTCATGGCCAACTTTCAGCACTCCTTTAGTGGAGGACCAGACTAGCACTTTTGCACCTTTTCCACTTGCTGTCCCTGTCACTTGGGTAGAAAAATCCTATACTAGCTCACAATTGCCTTATAATCTCCCGTCACATATAATTTATTTTTTTTCAGGATGTTAATATATTTCCCTTCTTCCTGCCCTTCTCCAGCTTGACAGCAGCTAGAGATTGGTATTAAATTGTATTTCCTTGGTATACCACCTGTACCCAAGTTTTCTTTTTCCTTATAAGCTGTTAACATGAGTTTAGCTTAGAGCTGCTACCTCAGGGTAAGAGAGCCATGACATATCCGTTTTCAAGGATTGCTGTTAAAGCACTGTCTGGGGTGGGGGAAGAGGTACCCATGCATTTACCCTACTGCAAATACCACATGATTTGTGTTTCAATTAAAGGTAATTTGCTTGTATCATGTGGCTGTGTTTACATCCTTGCATTACAAAGTCACCTTTTATAGCATCTTCAATAACAGTCAGGCAAGATTTCACCACCACAACTTCCCTTCTAACACTGAAGTGGAAGCTGCTTTGCTGTCCAGCCTACATATGAAGGATGTATTCAAGCAAAATTTATCTTTGCTTGCATTTAATGTTTCACCCAAGTCCTTAGTTTCAGGTGGCACTAAGGATGCAGAACTTGCCCATTGTGCAGGATTTGGTCAATCCTCTTTGCACCACCCAGAGCAAAATCCTTGTTTAATAACTCCTCACATGGAACAATGTATCTCTACCTAGTAAAGAACAATAATTTCTTTTTAATTTTTAAAAATACCAAAAGCAGGATAAAGACTTCCTGAGGCAGCAAATGATCCTCACACTGGCCCATCCAGAAAGATGACAACTCGAAAACCCCAGATTGTGTGTATTCTTTTTCTTCCTGGGCAACAAAATCAGAGCATAGAGAATACAAAAACAACATCAAAAAAGCCCCATGTTTGTAACTCTGAAGAATTTTGCTAATTGCTGTAGAATAATAGTAAGACTTTAGTCATGAGACTAAAATCTGAGCCTTACTAGACCAACATTATAATCCTTCATTATAATCTTACAGGTGTAAAGCAGGTTCAAATCTCCTCTTTTCTTTCCACACTCAGGTCCCTATTTTAAAGTCCATGTGATTTCTTATGTGGTATATAGGGCATATGACTCCAAGTCTCACATGAAACACTGTACAGGAAAAGGGAAGGAAGCAGCACTTTTTGTAACTCAGTATATCACTGTGCTGAGAACTTGGGGTAGCTCACAGTGGCACAAATGCCATAAGGTCTCATTCAAAAACCTCAGATTACCAAAGGAGCAATACATTTTGAAGAAAGAATGGGGAAAGGAAATATATTGAAGAAGAGAACTGCAGAATTTCTAGGAATACTTATTCTGGAAGTATATTGCTTATTCAGATAATAGAAGAGAGAATCTTTTACCTGGATCAAATTGTTTAAAATCACTCTACAATGAAATTATTGTTTTCTGCCCTCAGGATTTTGCTTATTTTTGAGCACTTTCATTGCTGTCCATATATGGATCCTTTGGACAACTCTGGCATTTTATTGTCTGGTTTTATACACCTTTAGAGCGTGGTGAGGAAGGTGGGTTTATTTGGCTATGTGCAAACAGTGTGGCAACAGACAAGCTCGTATTTGGAACGGGAACAACTTTTTCAGTTGAGCCAAGTAAGTTTCACTTGTTTGTTTTACTAATAATGTATTTCTAAAGTCTTCTCTCCCTGTGTGTTATGGTTAAGCCTTTCAGCCTCATCAAGTGAAGCATTTTTGGGTAATTAAAAAGGAACACCAAAACCTTTTAGTATATATCACACATATCAAGCATATTAAGCTACCGTTGAAGTAAATAGTCTTCTTAGTATTTAATTTTTTTAATTAAAAATTATTATGATAATTTATGTTGTATTCTTAAAACTTCCCTCCCTCATTTCAAGGTCCCTCAGTTAAATATATATATATATATGTGTGTGTGTGTGTGTGTGTGTGTGAGTATATATATGTATATGAGGACAAGTTTAGGAGTCCAAGAGATTAGAAGCTCCAATGAAAATCCCACCCTTATACTCCCTTTCCATCTTTGATCTCCTCTATGGCAAACAGAAGGAAGAAATAAACACAGAAAGACACTCAGCTGTCAGGGGACAGATGTGGCTGGACTGTATCTGAACTATCCATGATTTAGGTCTCAGAAAAGCATGCAGAAAAATGAAATCAACACAAAACAATGCTTCTTTTTTTTTCAGAGAGTCAAAAAGAATCTGCCCCAGAAGTCATTGTGCTCAAATCAAAGAAGCCTAAACAACATGGCAACAAACTGAACATGGCTTGTTTGGCGAGGTCTTTCTACCCTGAGAACATCAGCCTCGATGTGCCTGAGAGTGTTGTTTTGTATGACCTGAAGGCACCTCTGGTCACGTCTGGGGGGATCTACAGCACCATGAAGGTCGTTGGAGTGGAGCCAGATGCAGAGGTGACCTGCAAGGCTACGCACAAAGGGAACAGGAGCAAAGCCAGCACAACTCTGCCAGGTACAGGGCTGTTGTCCAAGTGCCGTTGTCCAAGTGCCACATGACTTTGGAAGATGCATCTTCCACGATTTTTTCCTGCCCTTTGAGGATCTAGCAAGGAAAAGTGCAGTCAGAAAGATATTTAGGCACTTAGTTAGGTAAAGACAAGATATTTAAAAGCATATTACATATGTGACTTTAATTCAACTATTAAAGCACAACAAAAAACTAAGCCAACCTAAACTTTCCCCATCCCAGTAAAGAATAAAAACAACCCTCTAATATTTGTGAGTCTAACTTTATCTAAGAGAAAATAGTTGAAGGGACATAGGTACACATGCCTGCTAGAAGAAAGCTTGAAATAACTTCTTTGAAAACACAAAATAAAAAAGGACATATGATTGTTCCCCAGATATTTTGATTACCTTTTGATCATTTTTTAAATTGTTGTTTTCCTTCAAAAGGAAAAGAAAAGTAAAACCCAACAATCCTGAGGAGGGGGGTTTCTGCAATCACAGATAGAAAGCTAATTTTTCTCTTCAAGTTAATAATTAATTAATGACCTGCCACCTGATTCTCCAATACTGCTTAACTGCTGCTGGGAAAAGAACTATAGGTATGTTTTGTGCAATTCTTGTTTTGTATCGTTTGGATACAATTTATAGAGTCTGTCTATCATTTGACAGAAGAGAAAACTGAAGAATTTGGAACAGTTAATGATTGCAGCATTACAGATGCTTCTAAAAGAGGTGAGTTGCCTAAAGGAACATCAGAGTACAGTTGCTTTATTGGGGATTCAGTAACAATGCAGGAACGTGCACTGCCTTTGGTACAGAAATGTCTGAATTGGAGATACTTATTAACCTACACTTTAAGATTATTAAGCTTATTAAACTGCACTTTCTGCAGACTCAATATCAAAACATTAATAACTGCTTTCTCCTGTGCAGAAATGTCAGAATTGGAAATACTTATTGAGAAATTACCTTTAGGTTAACAGACTAGATAGTGGACAAATTCCCATGGGATAAAAGAGCAATGGGAAGTCCATTCTCCTCTCTTCCCTGCACTTGCTACATTCCTCTCTCATATTTTCCCCAGTTCCTGCATCCCTCTTCTGGCTATGATGTGTGGATTTTCCTTCTTTTTTGGGGGTGAGTGGGGCAGGGTGGGGTTAATATCAAGATGACACTTTCTTCCCTCTTCTTCTTTTTAAAGCAAATGTCAAAACAAACGCACTCTTCATGGCTGTTTTGGGTTTGAGAGTCCTGCTGGCAAAGAGCATCATCTTCAATGCACTCATGAGTATCAAGCTGTTCCTCTTCTGAGGTAGGAAACACATCATTCAGTCCCTGGGAACACGGGAGGCAAGATCAAAGAGTGGCCATTTGCATCCTTCTGTAACCCCACAAGGAGTGACATCCGTTCAGCTGTTCCTGTTTCCACTGGATGAGTTAATTTATCCTCCAAGTTGCACCTTATCCCCAAATCAGGCTAATCCAGAGCATCTCAGGTTCTATCAGAAATCTGCTGGTTGTTTCAAGTAGCAAAGCACAAAGTCTGGGTAAATGTCCAAATCAGAAAGAATATAAAGGGAGAATCCCAAAAGCCACCAAAGGCAAAAAGAGGGGCAGGAAAAGAAGGAAGGAAAATTATAAAGATAGGTAGCCAAACGGCCAGAAAGTATTTGGCCACTATATTGCAGATTAACAGGAACTCAGCACCAATACATCAAATGTGAATAAGAATTTAAAATAATCATTGTTTGCTCTTTCAGGTACTGGGTGTGACAGCAATGGGCTGAATAAGAGCAGGAAAGAACACACAACAGAGTAACACTGTGTGTCAGCTTTGCTACCCATAAACATCTGAAGAATCAACAAACTCCCCCATTTCTGTAGATCTGTGAGTCTCTTCACTTCATCAAGGTGCTCCTTAGTGAACACCATCTCGAATCCTTCTTAGACAGCTAATGTTGTATAATGCTGAACTCTTGTCTAGCTTAGAATCATTAATAGAACAATTTCTGGTGTTTCTTATTTCCCTCATCCCTCTGTTGAGTAGGAACAGTAAGCTCTCCTACTCCTGGATCCATTGCACTGATACATCCAAATTGCTTACATAGTTTTGAAAACTTAAAATTTAACTGTATACTTAGTATACTTTAAAAATACCACTTCTGGTCATATTACTTTGTTGTCTACAGAAATAATTATCTTCTGCTCAGGGATCCCAGGCACAGGGGGTGTACTGTATAATTTCAATTTTTACAGGATTTTATCAGTGGCAATTTTCCAGGGCAGATCTAGATATCATTTGGACCTAAAGGAATTCAATTCAGACAGGCGTAGTGTTTTCACTTCCATTATCATTTTCATTTCCATTTCTTCTTTTGAGCATTTTTTCTCTCCTTTTTTTTAAAGTATATGGTACCTGCATTTTAGGTTTCCTTAATATGCACCAAAATAAAGTTTTTTTATGCTTGATTTGCACTGTGCCGTTTCTTCTGAAAGTTGGATGAAAATCTTTGAAATTCCACTGTCCTATCCAGTGACCACTGAGAACTAGAAAATTACTTATTACATTCTAGATTACCTTTTCATTAAATTTGCCTTCCTTGGGCTTTCCACGGGGAAAGAGAAAGACTCCCTGGCCAATTTAAAAGATTTCAGGACACCTATGAATTCTGGCCCTATTGGGTTTAAATGAATTTTAATTATTCGTGGCCCTTTCAAATTAATCAGGCTCAAAACTGTGGATAACAATACGAGAGACAGGTCTAAAGAGAAAAGGTGAGAGAACAAGCTGCTGATTTCCCACGCACCAGTACTAGGAAGGGGCCAACAGGAAACACTGGGATGTTCTGATAAATCACCCAACTGTTGGCTGGCAGTCACAAAAACCAAACACTAACTTCTCACGAGCTGCAAGCTGACAGGATGCTGTGGTTAAAACACACTGGCTCTATCAGGCTACTCAAGACAAATCCCCCCTTGCTTTTAAACACGTTAACCACTTCCCAGGGGGCAAGGCCCACAACATTTCTCAGGTGCTGACTGAACCACTGTTGACTCCAAAAAGGCCCCCAGAAGGGTGCATGGTGAAATCTATTTAGCTAACTTTGACAGATTTAGTTCAGACCCTCCCTTCAGAAGCTGTGACATTCTATGGTGAAAGCACTGCCTCTAGGTCCTGCAGCTCTGTGCTTGGGTCTCAGGAGCACACACTCAGTGTGGAAAAGCATGGTAGTCTTGTTATTGTTTCCTAGGCATCCCAAGAGCCAGATGGACATGTGGAGCAAGCTGACAGCAAATCTCCCTTGAGACAGCCCCCTTCCTGTCCCAGTTAAACAGGCCATACTCCACCTCTGCAGCCTGAGCGACTCAGCCACAAAACCAGGCTGCTCTCACAGCACCCTTCTGCTGCTCTGTTGCTCCCTTTCCACTCTGGCTCCTGAGCCCGAGTTGACTTCTCTGCAGGTAGTGCCCATCTCCTGTATTTCCCTCTCTGGGACAAAGGAGGCGGAAAACACACTGGTTCAGTGCAAGGGCTTGTAGGGAGAGAGGCATCCATGGGAACAGGAGAGTTCCCACTGCAGTTCCCATCTCCCTGCAGACGTGGACAGGTGACGCCAGACCAGGCCAAAGCTTGGTGTTCCCTGTGCTCCAAAGGCAATGGATGGAAAGGTGGGAAATGCTGTTGGAGCAGGCCCTGCTCCACCAGGACCATGATTTTCCATCTTCCCAGCTCTTTTCTCCCTTCACTTGGCTTTTCCCCGGAGCTGTGGTGTGCCAGCACAGGCAGCCAGTGCCTCCCTTAGTCCCTGAATGCCCAGGACTGGACACAGAAAAAATAACAGGAATATGGAAATCCCTGCACTGGGAGCTCGTGGTGCTCTGGATTAAATCTTGGATTTATAATGTTAAAATTGTAGGTGAGGTGAGGCATGGGGTCTGAGGAGCGACAGCAGGGAGGGGTGGGAATGGGTGGGGCTGCGGCTATAAAAGGAGTGGGTGGGGTGGTGTCACTTGATCAGTTTTTGGGGTCACAGGGAGAAATCCAGTGCTGCATTTGCAGAGCTTGGAACTGAGCCAAAGTCCTGTGATTTGAGGCTCACAAGCAGACACCCAGTGCTGCGTTTTGGGGGCTCAGAACCGGGCTCACGCGGAGAATTTTTAGGGCATTGGACAGGTGTTACCGTCTTCTCTCTTACCTTTTGCATTATGTGATTCTCCCTCAATCAGAGAAGGCATAAAATGGAGCAGGAAGGGGAGCTCGTTTCGTTTCTGTGAGCTCCAGGCTTGAGACGGCGGCAGAGCACTTTGTTTTCAAATATTCCTACCAAACACAGTCAATTTTAAGCTCCCTTGGGCACTTTTGGATCTTTCTGTCCTGCTTCTCCTCTGATCTTTTACCTGGGAAGTGTGAGCTCAGAAGCACCTCCCTACTGGATGGGTTTTTATGCTTCCAAATTTTTTTTCTTAGAAAAGCAATCAGGTCTGCCTGCAGGACAGGAGCTGGGGGAAGAGGGAGGGAACTTCAACCCTTTGGGGGGCTGCCCTGTCTTTATTTTTCTAGCAGAGCCCCTTTTTTTTGTATATATGTCAATGATATTATTAAAGACATATGCTGCTGTCCACCTTTCTGGGGGTGAGAAAAAGGGAGAGGATTGGAGCCTGGGGGTTGATGATCACATTTGGGACACCTCGATGTCACTGGGAGAGCAATGATGCAATGGAGGAGAAGATGACTGGGGAATCAAGGGAGTCAGGTGGGATCTCCCCAGAAAGGGAGGTTACAGCCCAAAAATGCCAGAAAATTCATAGGGAGCGTGTGTGAAATACTAAAACCTTTTAAGTTTCTCATTTTTATATATGTAAACAAATATTATTAATTCATATAAAAATTATTTTAAAATAAAACCCCGTGCCTGCTATATTATATATAGGATTTTAGGATATAAGACATTCTGAATACAGATCTATAGGGTTTGAGAATACAAATGTAACTTTTGAATATATATATATATATGTATGTATAAACTAACAAAGGGCTGGAAAATGTAAGGAAAGATGATCGATATGAAGGCAATAGGAAGAGCTCTGGGTGTTGGGAGTTTTTTTTCTGTCCCCTCTCACTGTCACACCCCGAGCTCGGGACCTCGGCTGGGACTGGAATCGCCGCTGTGGTGAAGGCGAGGGACTGCAAGTGTTTGGTGACTCGCGGGTGACGCCTCCTGACCGAAAGAGGTAACATCGAAGTTCTCTGAGAGGGAAAGGGAGGGACGATTTTGGGGTAAAACCTGATCTAGTCAGGGTATATTTCAGGGAGTAATATCTGTCTTCATGTATAGAGGACAGAATGAACGTTTCTGAGGGAAAAGCAGAGGCAAATTGGGAGGGGGAGCAGCGGTGGCTTTTTTTGACAGAAATGCTGAGGTAATTTAGATGAAACAAAATCACGTTTTTTTCAGGGTGAATCCAGGGGTACTTTGGAGTTGAAAAAAGAGCCTTTCTGAGAGAAAGCCTGGGAACTCAGAGAAGACCGAGGCAGCATTTTGGACTGAAAATCTGGGATTACTCAGAGAGGACAGAGGTGACACTTTTAACTGAAAACCTGACACAATTTAGAGGGGACACAACCACTGTTTCATGTAGGGAAGTGTGAGGTGATGTAGAGGGGAGAGAGGTGGCATTTTGGTGTCTCATGTGCAGAAGACGGGCACTCCACGGGCAGCAAAACCTTTCTGTTCTGTTCCTTTGACTGGGAGGAATCTTCAGCCGTATTCAATTTTGGGAGGCAGACTCGCAATTTCAGCACAATGGGAGTTGTACAATTCTCCTCAGCTCCAAGTCCTAAAGCCTGACAACTCAAACCTCTTCAAATTATTTACCTTGGTGCCAAGTTCCGCAATTGGTGCAAATATGCTGCTTAGTTTCAGACAACCTAATTTCATAAGAAATGGTGACAACGAGGAAGCATCCACTGCAAGTAAGCTCTGACAGTGTTTATTTGACATTGAGGTCAAATAAGGATGCAATCTGACCCACACTTTTTGACATTGAAATTGTTTCATAATAACAATGAAGGGGGATGCAGCGCAGACTGTCAGGGCCATGGGAACACTAACTAGCCATCCATATTTTCCACACTGACAGTGTCTCTTTCTTTCTAAGGCATCTGGTAATTGTCATTCTCTTTTATTTGAATAATCTTTTGAAGGACCAAGACTTTGGTGATTTTACATGTAAGTCCTTTGCAAGCATGTATTTATATAAATGGTATTGTTAAAGCGTTGCTTTTCTGTGTTTTTAATAACGAATAAGCTCCAACCATGCTAAGTTGGGTATTTGGGAACACAAAGCAAACTTGATGTTTTTTTTACCCTCCCTGTTATAAACTCCTTATCGTGTGCTCCGCAAAATGGCATGATCAGGATTTTGAGAATTAGTGATGCGATTCTTTGCTGCAGCCTCAGTCTATTCAGCTTCTTGTTTATGAGTGTTACGGAGAAAAGATTTGCAAAGAGCATTTTTAGATAAACTGAAGTGGGACTCCAACATGAGCTATCCAGAGAAGGGCAATGAAGATGGCGAAGGGTCTGGAGCACAAGCTTGATGAGGAGCAGCTGAGGGAGCTGGGGGGGCTCAGCCTGGAGAAAAGGAGGCTC